ATCCTAACCCAACTCCAAGGTCCTGAAGAGATGACACCTGGGCCACCTGTAGCCAGTGCCATTTCATTGAAGGAAGGGTCGCTGGGCACCACCTCACCGCCATTCAGCACCATGTTCACAGAAGCTGCTCATCCATCCTTCATTCCACAGCCAAGGTTGGGCCAGGACCTAAAGCCAGCCCTCTGTACAGGAAAGAGGGAAAGCTCACAACCCCAGAACTGAAAGGAAGATGATATCTTTTTTAAAAATGTGGGCGCAATGACTCATGCCTAACCTTAGCTACTTGGGAGGCTGAGGCAGGAGGATGGCAAATTCAAGATCAGCCTGGGCAACTGGGTGAAACCCTGTATGCAAAATAAAACAAAGAGGGCTAGCAGTAGAATTCAGTGGTAGAGCACTTGCCTAACATGCGCAAGTCCCTGAGTTCAATCCTCAGTAATACAAATTTATTAAAAAGTACAAAAATAGTACATTTTTCTTTTGTCACCTTTTCTTCACATCTGGAACACTTCAGGGAATATCTAAATGAGTTCTTTTTTTTTTTTTTTTTTTTTTTTGGTAGTGGGGATTGAACCCAGGGCCTTTGCACTGAGCTACAGCTACAGCCCTTTTGTTTTATTTCTTACTTTGAGACAGTCTCTAGGTCACTAAGTGGGCCAGGCTAGGCTAGAACTTGTGATCTTCCTGCCTCAGCCTCCTAGAATGCTGGGATTACAGCCTGCAACACCAAGCCCAGCTATATGAACTCTTGGTGTTTCCTGGAACATCTTCAAGGAAGTCTCTCCTGCCTCCACTGGCATTGAGGCCTTTGGAGCCCTAAGCAACTCTGCCAGCTTCTCCTCCCCCTCCGCCCAAATGGACCTGCTCTGCCTGCCTTCTGGAGCTCTGAGTCTGAGACCAGGCTGAGAATCCCCCCTCTGCCAGGACTTGAAGAGCACAGTGGTCAGTGAGAGGCTTGGTGCATTCTCTTCACACGTGGTTGCCCCGGAGGAGTCCTTTCCTGGCTCCTCCCTCCCGAACTATCCCCCGGAGCATCCTAGCCCTGAGACTGCTGGTCTCTCTGGGCAGTCTAGTCTGCCTAAATACAGGAGCTTCTCAATGTGCACTCCCGGCCGATTCTCCCTCAGCTGCGGACGTACGATCAGCTGCCTGCTCGTGTCTCTGTGGGGGGTGCCTGAGTCGCTGGGGCTCTTGTGACAAAATGCCATAAATCAGCCGCTTATGAACAGCCAACATCTAGTTCTCAGCTGTAAAAGCTGGAAAGCTTAAGATCAAAGCCTTGGCAGGCAGGTGTCTAGGGAGGGCGTTCTTCCTGGTTTCCTGTTCTTTCTGGTGACCATTGTCCACTGTTTCATTGCGTGGCGGGAGGAACTCAGTGTGCTTCTTTGGCTTCTTTGATAAGGGCGCTAATACCAGGCGTGATGGCACACTCCTGTCATCCCAGTATTCAGCAGGCTGAGGCAGGAGGATGGCTATGAGTTCCAGGCCAGTCTGGGCTACAGAGAAAGAAAGTAATAAATGAAAATGGCACTAGTGCCATCCATGAAAGCCCTGCCCTCCCGATGTAGCAGCTCCCACAGGCCCCACCCCTCACAGGGGTGTGGCTTCAGTGTGAGTGGCGGTAGACACACGTTCAGACTTTTGCAGATATCTGCAAGCATGTGGGCTCTGTGTGCCTAGAGTGGGGTGCTTGGTTCTGCACCTCAGTCTGCCCTGTGAGTCCTCTTGGGTCTCCTTGGAGTCACCCTTGACTCCTCCCTCCCAGCAGTGTGCCCTGCCTCCGGGCACTGAGCACCCCAATAACCACCATTCAACAGTCAGAGGGTGAATTCGATGATGTTGCCCAGCTTGGAGGTGTGTGGGACGACCGTCACATTTGGAGCAGAAGCTGCACAGTCTTCTCACAGCCATGGCCCTGTGCCTGTAGCCACCGGGCAGGCTTTGTGCTGGCCCACCAAGTGCACTCCTGCCTCAGAGCCTTTGACGCAGTTTCCTGTTGATGCATCGGGTTGGTTAGGGCTGGGCATTGCCGGGGCGTCTTTGGTCTGTGTGCGGGATGCTGGCTGCCCCTTCTGGTCCCCAGGGTCTGCAGTAGCACTCCCGTCACATTGCGTCCCTCACCCTGCTGTTCCCAACACGGCATTGATGGCTGTGCGCACACAGTGCCCTCCGTCCAAGCCCTGGGGAAACGCGTACCAGCCACTCCTGTGCTATCAGCCGTGGCCCTGGGTCTGACAACTCTGGAAGGGACACATGGTGAGGGGGAGGGGCCGTGGGGTCTGCAGGCCGGGTTCTGGGACTGCAGCAGGTGTGGGGAGCCTTTCCCAGCAGGTCTCTTGCAGGAGGCAGATTGTGGGAGCCCTGAAGTTTGCATTGAGAGTAGGCTGTAGGTGTCATCCATCATCTGGAGGGGAGGGGGCTCCCGCACATCCAGAAGGCAGGCAGATTGGAAATGCTGGGAGGTGGTGGATGTGATAAAAGTAGATGAGGTAAGAAAAATAAAGGCAATGAGAGATTTCAAGAAAAAAAAAAGCTGCAAAGAAAAGATGCACATACCCAAGGAGACCAGAAAATGCAAGTAGAGCCAACATGCCTTGCACTAGTGTAAAATAGTCAGTGTAATATTCAGACAAACAAGTACATGATAGTGTCAGACACACAAATGCTCCTGAACTTGTTTTTGTTTGTTTGTTTGTTTGTTTGTTTTTTCCGGTACCGGGAACCGATCTCATGACCTTGTGCTTGCCAGGCAGGCGCTGTGCCACTGAGCTAAATCCCCAGCCCCCAGACACACAAATGCGTATTGAAGCACATATTTTAAAGGCACCAACAATGGCACATACTTTAAAGGCACAGCTGTAACAATGACTAAGAAAGAAATAAAAGACTTTTCCACTCTGGGCCAAGGGAATAGAACTTGGCCCTCCTCACAAAACAGGTGTCCCCAGAGAGGGGGTGACAGCAGAGGGGCACAGGAGACCAGTTATTTTCTCCCACTTTAATTCTTCCCTTGCTGTCCTTTCAGGTTCATGTCTTTTCCAGCTTTTTTCGAAGTAAAATATGTGAGAATAATCTGGGATGTTTATAGGAGGTCTCTGTTCCAAGTCTTATCAAGCATCACAAATTTAGGCAGAGCCCCCAGCCCACCCCCACTTGCACCCGCGTAGGAGACCCGAGGGCCATGGCGTTTGACGCTGTCTCCTGTTTGTGCACCTGACCTACCTGCAGGGTGCTGGTCACTGAGGACGGCTGTAGACACAGCTACAGTGGCATCTGTAGGCTGCATTCTGGAGCCCAGCCCAAGACTGTGGACTACCGGCCTAGCCTGGAAGCAAACTTCCTTAGAGGAGTCCAGTGCAAGGGACATCAACCATGACTCAGGGGCCGCCAGCGCAGGGTCCAGCATATTGTTACGAGCAGCCAGAGGGCAGAGGCTAGGGCCAGGGCAGACGGGAGCCAGAGCAGTGGGATCATGGCCAGGTCCCTCCTGGTACATCTCACCTCTTTGCAGAGACCTGGGAGACACAGTGGACCACATCTCTGAACGGACAGAGGCTCCCTTGGGCCAGCAGAGAGGCCTGCAGGACCCACCCGACCTCCACAGAAGGATGTGGCACCCAGTATGCTAGTCACACTGCCTGGACCTGCTGAGCCCCTGTAGCTGCAGGGACAGCAGGCCTGGACCTAGAGACACCTAGAAAGACCATTACCCTAGCTGTAAAATATACCACCAGGTATATTTTACAGTGACCTATGCAGTGTTGAAAACTGAGTGAATGGTAATGGGTAATGTTAGGCAATAGGAAACAAGCTGATAATGACTTAATGAATAATGTTCCATATATGTTCTGTGTGTCAGACGGGCTCCCAGATGTCCCTTAGCCCTGGCTGCACCCCCACAGTATATCCTGTCATGACATCTCTTTCATAGGTAAGAGGTCAAGGGAACCTGCCTGTAGTCACACAGCTGGGTGGTGTCCACAACCAGGTGGTGTCATGAGCCCCTGATGTCAGAATAGTACATGCAAAAAGGAAGAAGAGAAAGAAAGGAAACAATGGCCAGATGGGCCCACCCTGAGGTGCTCGGCCATCCTGCTCCTCCCTGCCCTTATACCAGCCTCATGACAGGTGAGTGAAGTGCAGAGAGCACTCACAGGGTGCTGGTGTGCAGTAGGGACTCTATGAGGCTGGCTACTGCTAACTCCAGGAAACATCAAACTGAGGAAACTCCAGACATAAACAGGGGCTGAGGTTTCTAGGTGGTCTCTAGGTGGCAGCCTGGCCTGCATGTGTTTCCTCCTGTCCCTGCCCATTCTCCTAAACACAGGAAGTCAAGAGCACCAGATTCCCCCAATGCTAGCTTCCTTGCTGGTGATTTCGCCACTCTTAGGGCCACCTAAGTCACTGACCTGGTCCCAGGGTCAACCAGGCACACCAGGCCCATTGAACACCCTGGTCTCCACCTAAGGAAGGAGGGAACTGAACAGGTGACATTTGCCCACAGCAGTACCTGGCCACCAGTGGCTTTGAGGCCATGCTGGCCTCAGGAAAGTCTGGGTCTGTGGTCCTTGGCCCCCACGGTCCTGCGATGGTGTCTGAGGATTGTGGAGGCCCACTTTCCTCATAGCCTTCCAGAAGCAGATCAAAGGAGAGAAAGCTTAGTGAGGATTCAAGTCTTTGGTTCCTGCCCAAAAGCAGCTCCCTGGCTGTGAAGAGGGGCCGCTGGTTACCCCTTTATTCTTTCTGTCAACCTCAGTCTGACATTGACCTGAACCAACAGTGCACAATTATGGTCCTGGAGTCTGGTTCGCTCCCAAATCCACTCACTATTGACACCCCAGCCATGTGATGCCGCTGTATGCAGCCTATAATCTGGTATGCAGGGGTATCCCTGGCCCCATGGGGGATCCTGAATCAAGCCAATCACCCCAGAAATCAGCCCCACCACAGAGGACTGGGCCCTTGCCACTCACCGGACCTTCGGGGCCTGCTCAGTAACCCAGAGCTAATGCAAGGACGGTCTGAAGGTGGCAGAGGCCCAAGGCCCCGCTCCCTTGCCCTGGGGGCTCCAGGTACCACGTGCTGGGCTTGCTCTCCTCGCTGGAGAAGGAGCCTCTGGCGCCGTCGGTGGTTGGCAAACCAGTTGTACACTTGCCCAGTGGTCAAGCCTGTCTCCAAAGCCAGATTCTCCTGTCCCAAAACAACAAACCTTCCAGCTGTGAGTCACAGCTGAAGTCCACCATGAAAAGGGGAGGCTGACCCAGCCCAGGCCCTCGCCAGAGAGCAGTGATCCAGTCAGAGCACCAGTGTGCTGGGAAAAGGACTGTCCCCGACTCAGGCCGGGGAGGCTGCAGAAACAGTATGTGGTTCCCAGGGACAGGATACACCATCCTGCCTCAGAGCTGACTCCACCTCTGAGCACCCAGGATCCTGAACCAGAAAAGGCCAGGCTGTAAACACCTGAGCCCCTGAAGGTACAGAGGCCATGGCTGTCCTGACATAGTCTCTTCCCTTGCCTGAGTGACCCTAGGTGTGGGACCCCAGCTGAGGCACTGGAGTCCTGAGAACCAGCCAGGGTGGGAACGAGGACAAGCTGAGGAGGTAGAGACCATCAGTATGCCCAAGGGAAAGACTGAGTGGGCTGTGGTGCCTGAAGGGAGGGGAGGGAGAGGGAAGAAAAACCCAGGGAGGCTTCCTAGGGTAAGGCAACCCCCCAGGTGGGCTCTAGCCCTTCTCACCCACTCGGCCTTGCTGGGGTTGCTGTTCATGGTCGAGACAAAGTCCCACAGCCGCTGGCAAACCTCCCTGGGAAAGTTCCGGCTCTTGGGGGCTTCAGGACTGAGAGCAGTGGGTGGTGGGTTCCTGGAGGACGTGAGGCAGAGGTTTCAGAACAGGACCCCCACCTGCTTCTTGTTCAGGGCCTGGCACCTCAGGAAGGAGAGACTCTTGGCCTTTCCCAGAACAGCATCCACTGTGGCGCTCACTGGGCAGCAGGGAGTGTGACAGCCTCTCTCTGGGCCCTGTTGGGGATTGGTGTCCCCTCCAGGACCTCCCAGTCCCCTAACCCTAACCCACATCTAAGGCCAATGTCCAGCCTTCTGTTTCTCAGCTCCCCGCCATGATTCAGCTCCAGTGGCCAGGCCCTCAACCAGGAAGCCACAGTGATGCCTGTCCTCTCCATGCCCTGCAGGGATTTCAGTCCCAATCACCTGCCAACACAGAGACAGGGGTTAAACTGCTGATGCTGGGCCGGAGAACGTTCAGGATGGTCACATGATTTTTTTTTTTTTCATCTGATGAAAAATCTGATCTTTTCATAAAATATGATATTCACTTGTCTGTGAAGACTTGAGATCCAGCTGCCTCAAGTACTTCTTACATTGTTTACTTCCCAAATGGAGACCATACCAACTCCCAGACCCACCTCCAGCCTGTACACCCTGGGAAGAAAGCACCCCACTCCTGGTGGTTCCTAAGCATGGGGCACCCTGGAGTCCTATGTCACCCTGCAGCAGGTCTCCATAACCCTTCCACCCTCAAACCACAACTAAGTCCTGCCCCACTTCCCACAAGCACCTCCACCTTGTGCCCCAAGGGCAGCCAGTAAGGAGCTCCGGGCCATGCCCAACATCCTGCTGCCAACTGGGCAGGCAAACCCCACCACCACCTGCCTTTGACACCACAGGACCATGCCTACATGTGTCGAGGCTGGTGCACACATTGTCCTCCCCGGTGTCTGCCATCTGCTCCATGACACCAGGTGCCTTTTCCCCCAGAGCTCTGCCATCTCTCCGCTGGACACCTGCTCAGAGGGCAGATACCCCACTAAGGACGCTCCTCTAGGCTGGGACAGGCCCGCAATGACTATCTGGTCTGAAGCAGCCCCCTCACCACAGCTAAGATCCAGCCCTATCCAGCCCTCTTCTGGATAGGTTCTCTACAGGGCACAATAGGAGGGAACCCATGTTCTTTCTTGTCTCCTGTCCAACGTCCCCTCCAGGAAAGCAGGGTTTAATTTCTGTCCCAGCACTAGCACACAGGAGAAGATAGCACCATGCTTGCTGGTGCTTGAGTTGCAGCTTCTGCCAAGCTGTGCTCTGGGAGCTGGTGGTATCAGGAAAGAGCATGATGGACGGCATGCCAAAATCATGGTTGATCCATGGCTGGCTTCCTGAGGGCCAGGCTCACATTATCACTACTGAGTGGGCACCACGTAAGAAAATCTCTCAGGTCCCAAGAGAAACCCAGGACTGCAGCAACCATAACTTTGGCTCAGGAACCCGTCCCACCATGGTGGTTGGAGCTCAGAGCATGACTGCAGCCTGTCATTCCCAGCCTTCCCAGCAAAGACCAAGCCTCCATGGTTCCAGCATTGGCTGGAATCCTGGCCTCGCTTCACCTGTGAAACCTGAGGTACGTGGCCCCACGCTTTTTGTGCCTCAATTTGCTCAACGATGAATGGTATTTACAAATAGTGTAACATCCACCGTCTGGTTGTGGCGGCAATGATTGCCATTGGTAGTTACCTAGGCAGGGTGTGGTGGTGCATGCCTGTAATCCTAGCACTCAGGAGGCTGAAACAGGAAGAGCACCTCCTGTTTGAGGCCAGCCTGGGCTATGAAATGAGTTCAAGGCCAGCCTGAACTACACAAGGAGACCCTGTCTCAAACCAGTGACAACAAAAAGTGATTTAGTGCCTCCTGCACCAGGCACTCCTCTGAGCACTCTCTAGTACCTGGAACACACTTACCTTCATTGCTTCTGAGTGTTATCAGCTCCTAAGTGGGACTTGGTGATCCAGGACCCCTTGCCCAGCCAGGATAGGTGCAGATGGGAAGAGGAAGGGACGTGAGGATGCCCAGCCTGGGCCTCAGCCTCAGTGCTCTGCATAAGGGCACTGGTTTCCAGCCTCCACCCGGCTGAGGTGGCAGGTGGGATGTGCCTCACTGTACATGGCAAGGATGCAACAAGCACTGAAGCCATGCTGCGTCACATGCTGACTGACTATGGATGTGACTTCCTGCCTTGCCTCTACCTCACCTCCACCCTTCTGGGTCTGAGATGCTACATTCAACCCTCAGGAACTCCCAAGACCAGCACACACTAGAGTACCTCTTCCTGCAGAGGAATTTCTGCACTGGGGTTAGCGTGGCCACACCCAGCCTCCTCCTGGCCAGGTGGTAGTGGATGTCATTCCAGAGCTGCACCAGCTCCTGACTGCCTCTTGGCACCTGGCACCCCTGTAAGGAGAGGCTGCTAAGACTTGGCCATCCTTTCCCACCCTAGAGTGTCATGGGGACCTGTTTCTTCCACCCCAGCCTCAGAAGGTACAGGCCCTTGGGAAGGGCTGAGTCTGGGAGAGCTCACTGGTGGACAGTGTCAGCATGGCCCAGCATTGGAGTCTTTAGGATCTGACTTGGGTAGGTCAGTCACCACCCAGACCAGGACAGTACTACCTGTCAGCCATGAACACATCAGAAGCCCCTGAACCCACATTTGAACCCTCCAAGCCTCTTGAGAAACATGTGAGCATAGTTCTCAGGTGCACCTTGCAGAAAAGAAGAACCAGGCATGGAAAAGCCTGATGATATGACTTTGGCCACAGAGCACGGGGCCCATGGTCAGAGCCACAGGGTTCTGACTCCTAGAAGGGCCATTGTCTAACCTAATCTTAAGTGAACAGCCTGCATCTCATATTCAGCACGCTTCCCCCAACCTGTGTCATAGGGAATGAAGGGGTCCCTATTGGTTCCTAGTGACAGTTTGCTCACTCAACACCTTAGCTGGACCCTGCCAATGACCCAGGATACTCAGTGTTGCCTTCCCTGTGATCTACGTCCCTCCATTCACTCAACTCTACCTCTGCAGCACCACTCTGCCCCCGATGCCTATGTCTGCAGACCCTCGTTGGCCAGGAAGGCTCTGAGGAGCATTCAGCCTTCTTTTGCAACTCCAGCAAGGCCCAGTATGGCTGGGCTCTGACCTCTCAGCCTCCCGCCAGCTCTGGGCCCTGATGCAGCCATCTCCACTGCCCTGTCCCTTTCACTTCCTTACTCTGACAGCTGAGAATCAAGCCCACTGTGATCCAGTGTGTGTGTGTATCCCTCCCTGCAGGAGCAGAACCTCAGCATCCCTCGCTGGAGGGCAAAGGGATGACAAGTGACAAGGCCTCTGACTATCCACTAAGGAAAGAGCCAGGAGGGGCAGGGGGCATGCAGGAGCATAGAAGGGTCAGGTCTTCACCAAGTACACAAGTCACCTGCACGTCCTGCACCTCTCTGCACCCCATCATGACTACCCAGTCCTACCTCTAGAAGTTGGCAGGCCACCTGGGACTGCCCCTGCTGGACCAGGACACGGGCACACACCAGGGTCACATCTGCATTATCCAGGAAACATGGACGAAGAGGGCTTTCCAGAACAGCTGCCACCAAAGGCTGCACCTGGGAAAGGTCATCCTGGAGGTCCCGGCACAGCCTGCTTGCCAGGGTCACCAGCTCTGAAGTGAGTGAGCAGGAGCACCCCTGCTCCCGCAGCAGTGTCAGCAAGCTCTGCATCCTGGTCGTCGGCCCCTTTGTCAACACAGAGCAGTCAGAACCACCCACCTGCAGCCTTCCCTGTCCATCCCAGACCATTTCCTGGAGGCTGTGACACCTAACCAGGGGACCCCCAAGAAAAAGCACATGGCACGCTGGAATCACACAACTGCAAGCTTCCTCCCAATTCCCCAGTTTCCTTCTTAAGAATGAGGCCGGCTGTAGTTCCCTGGGCCTGGTGTTGCCACCATCCATCTCCTCCTCCCTCTCACCTCTCTCCCTCACTCCCCTCTAGGTTCCTCTTACTCCTGCAGTGACCTCCGAGGGAAAGGGACCTCATGTCTACCGCGAAGGCTCCTGTGACTGCCAGACAAATGCCCGCCCACCTAGGTATCAGGCAGAGACCCTCCCCACATCCAGGACACTGTGCCAATACCAGCTGGACAAGTGTCACAGCTACAGGGAGGAAGGGCCCTGAGCTCGCCAGGACCTGCTCAGTCCTGAGCTTGCTCCTGGCGGGAGGTTGTGGCTGCCCTCCAGGACCCAGAGTCCTCCTGTCTACAGGCCTCACCTCAGTAGCCTGAAACAAGAAGGGGAGAGCTGGGTCCATGCAGGAAGGCCCCTCCACTGAGTTAGGTCACTGGCTCCTAAGGAGTGCCCTGCCTGACTCCAGCAGATGGAGAAGCTGGCTGGGTAGATGGGTCTGGGAGCCTCACTGTGCACCCTGCCCAGTCCAGAAGGCACCCAAAGCCCCCTAGGGACACCCACTGCAACCTCAAAACACCTTCATCCCCCAGACACCCAGGCCCCTGGCGCAGCCCCATGCCCTGCAGACCCCTCCAAGACTCCAGAGATCTCCCCAACTTCCCGGAGACGCCCTCCTGCCCCAGCGGCGTCCCTGGACAGCTCAGCTGCCTCCTCCCACTCTTCCTTCTTCCCTCTTCTTTTCCCTCTCCTCTCTGTCTTGCCTCTCCCTCCTCTTCTGCCCTTCCCCTCCTTCCCCTTTCCTCTCCACTCCTCCTCTTCTCCCCTTCCATCTTTCTCTCTTCCCTTTCCCCGCCTCCTCTTCCCCACCCCGCTTCGTCCCCTGGCTGGCGGGCTGGCGGGCGCCGGCGCACCTTCAGCGACACAGTCTGCGGGGAGCAGGGGCCCCAGAACCCCGTGACACCAGGCGGAGGTCGTGCAGGTCCCTGTTCTAGGGGACGCCCTTCTGCCCATGCGGTCACAGGAAGAGGTCGCGCGGACCTGCGTAGGGTCTGGGCCACACTGGGCTCCGGGCCGCGGACGCAGTGGGACATGAGACTGCTGTGCGAGACCGGAAGAGCAGCCTCCCTGACGTCACGACGCCGTGTGGCCCCCCTGACGTCACGGCGCCGAATGCTCACGGTGTGGGAAGAAACCCTATGGGCTTAGTTCGGTTCCAGCGACTGTGCTCGGTCCCTGGCGTAGTCTGGACAGGAGCACGTCAGCAGCTCTGGCGCGGAGATGAGGTTGAACTACAGCACCAGGTTCTAGACACACGGCTGCCGACGCAATAGAAATACTTTAGTTTGGTGTTTGCATCACGCATTTCAATTTTCTTTCTTTCTTTTTTTTTTTTTTTTTAATTTGCCTCTGCATACTTTATAACTTCTGTAAAACAACAGTTTTTTTGGGGGGGTTTCTATTTTCGAGTTTCTTCTGTAGGAGTGGAAAGAGAGTGGAAGATGATAGGGTTGAGGGGAAGATTGTTCTGCGGCGTAGTGACCCCGACGTGATACAGGGGATGGAGGGAGATCAGAGGCGACAGCGGCAAACTGCTCACTCCCCACAAGGCCTTCCAGGTGCAGTCACAGATGGGCCATGGACTCTTCACTGAATGATGGAAGCGAGAATGTTCAGGTACCTACACCACTGAATTAACATTGTTGAACTCAACAGATTCTGTGGTTCTAATTATTTGGTATAAAATCTTATCTTCATTTCTGGAAGTTGAATCCAGGGCCTGGAACATGCTAGGCTACCAAAGCTTTGAAACCAGACCAGTTAACCTTCTGTTTGTTTTTTGAGATGAGAGGGATCTCACTTGGTTGCCCAGGCTGTCCACAATCTCCTAGGTTCAAGTGATTCTTCTCCCTCAGCCTCCTGAGTAGCTGGCACTACAGGCGCCATGACTGCACCCAGCTTCAAGATTTTTCTTGACTTGACCACTTGGACATTTAAGTTATAAATATTGTACATAAAGACGACCCCAAAAAACTCGCTTTTAATGGTAGTTTCGCTTGGCAATACAAGGCAGTACCAAAATCTAAGTCACCAGCTCTCTTGTATAGTTATGCTCTCTTCCTCTCAGTGTTCTCCAAAGGAAGTACAGCTATCAACAGTGAGTTGTGAGGCATACTTAGCCACAAGCCTAGATGTTTTGTTCCTTCCTGAACTCGACCTACGGTGGGATCCCAGTGTATTAATTTATTAGCTGTGATTTTGGACAAGTAAGTTAATGGCCTTGTCTGTATCTTCTCTCTGATAAAGTAGGGATTATAGGATTCTTTCTTCATGGGATTGAGATAAATTCAAAAAGTGCTGCCTTCAATATTTTTTTCCTGTCTACATTGATTATTTTTTAACAGTCTAAATCGGATAAGCTCCCCCTCATTACTTTTCCTTTTCAGAAATTTCCTGGGAGTTCTTTCACATCCACCCCCCTTTGTATTTACCTGAACACATTTTTCTAATCCTGGTCCACCAAAGGCTGGGCCTCATTCCGGTCATCCTCCTAGGAACTCCAGCTTCTCTTGAATCCCTGTCACCTGCAGGAAATCGCCTTCCTCACCAGAGGTTCCCCTGAGGGGTCCCCACCCCATGAAGTCTTCTCTGTGCTTCTCCATAGAAGACTTGTGAACACAGGAAGACAGCATAGGCTTCAGAATTAAGAGAGCTGGTGTCCATGGGAAACAAGCCTGACATCCTGGCAAAGGCAAGAAGGAATGTCCGAGCTTGAGAAAGTAACTCCTCTGTTTCCTCTCTTGGAAGAGACAGATGTGGATGGGAGCAGAAAACAGTTAGGATCCTCAATATAAACTGCCCTCCAGAGGTGACCCAAAGGGGACTAGAACAATCCATCTCAGCTGTGACAGCCATGCTCAAAAGGTTGCAAGCTGGCCTTGTCACTAAGGCCTTGTCTGTGGGTTCTTGTGTTCCCTGTCAGAATCAGAAATGCCATGGTACAGAAAAAAGGCTTTATTATATTTGACACAAAGGAGAAACCCATGGGAGACAAGAACTCCAGGCTGACAACTCCAGAGGACAAAGGTGTACAGTTCTTATGCCATCTGAAGTAGCAGGGACCTGGGTTCTTGTCATAAGACATAGAGGTGAGGTTTTACCTGTACCTGTGCTCTTCATCATGCCTCTTCATGCCATGCATGTTTCATTACCATATTAAGTCTCCACCTTTTTGGGAACAACACTATGCAACCAGTTGTCCCTTGCTACCTAGATTTTGCCCCTTATCATCTGGGTTTTGGAATACATTACTCCCTTACCTCAGTGGGTTTGATCGTCATGATCTTGTTTTTCTTAGCCCTGGCTTTTTGGTATCTCAGCTGACCACACAGTCTTTGAAGGGTGAGCTGACTTCCCATTCTCCTATCTGTGGGTGTATTCCCTTAGTCTCAGTCTTGAAAGCTGGTCCACTTTTGAACTGTTTCCCAATATTATGTTACCGCATAAGACTGAGGGCCTGACTGGCTTACTCAGCAAGCTCACAAGCTCAGGTATGTGTGGCTCTGCTGGCACCTCCAGCTGAGGTTTCCCCTGAACTGAGTGCCCTCTTCTGGGTTGTGATCCAAGCCTCCTCCATGAAGGGGCATTATCCATCACCTGGATTCCAGCCTCACCCACTGGGGCACAGCAACCCTCACTGGGATCTGGATCTATAAGGTCCAGGGCGGGGCTGGAGGTTTAGCTCAGCGGCATAGCGCCTGCCTGGCAACGCAAGGTTGTGAGTTTGGTTCCCGGTACCGAAAAAACAAAACAAAACAAAATATAAGGTCTAGGGCATGTATCCCAGAATACTTTGCTTTTCTCCTAAACTTGGCATTGAAGTAAATAATATGTGATGTAAACTGGAGGCTTTTATAGGTAAATAGAAGCAACTAGAGACCATACTCATAAGTGAAATAAATCAGACCCGCATGTGTAAACACCATATTGTCTCCCTAGTGTAAGAAACTGAAAGAGTAAATGAAATCTGAAAGGTAAAATAGATATTGAGAAAGGGAAAGAAACTGCTTAAAAGGAAGGAACAACTGGGGTAAGGGAAAGGAGGAAAGAAAGAAAGAAAAAGAAAGAAAGAAAGAAAGAAAGAAAGAAAGAAAGAAAGAAAGAAAGAAAGGGGAAATATATATATATATATATACACACATGCAATAACTAAGAATTGTACTACTAATTTATATTGGTTTACTGAAAGGAACAGTTAATGCTTAATTTTTTTTTTTTTTTACCAATTTTGCATACCTATATCTGGTAATCTGAACAACTACTTTGAAGATAACAGCATGCAATATAACCACCATTGCTGATTTCCTTTTATCTTGTTTGGAAATTGTGTATCACTTCTAATGTTTTTTTTATTTTCTTTAAAATAAAATTTTTAAAAACACAAAAAAATTTGATGCATTTTGTTTTTTCAGTACTGAGGGCTACCTCAGTGCTTGCCAAGTACTCTACCACTGAGTTTCAGTCCCTACCCTTTTACTTCTGGTAAGTTTTACTTTGTGACAGGTTCTCACTGTTGCCTAGGCTGATTTCCAACTTATGATCCAGCTGCTTCAGCCTCCCACAGTGCTACAATTACAGGTATGTGTCACCACACCTGGCCCAATGTGGCGTTTTTAGAAATCAAAATATATGCCAAAGATTCCATAATCAACAAAATACCAAACTTTTAAATAAAGATAGGATTGCTGTTACTGATTTTTTCTTCTACTGAAGGCTCCTCACCAGCTCCAATCTCTTCTTCCCCTCTGACAGTCAGTCAGGTATCAGGTGGGGGACAGGGACTCAGCACAAGCATCATTTACTGGGTGTATGTGCCAGAAGGCATGTTCAGAGCACCTGATATTCATGATGCTGTAATGTTGTGATGGTTGTTCTGATATGTCATCCCCTACTGACAACACCCACTGGAGAGGTTCAGGCAATAGGTTAGACACACTGACTGTAAAGGGTGGTGTGAGGCCTGTATGGCTTTGAGGTGTGTGTGTGCTTTCCAACATGGCACACTGCTCCTGGGACAAAGGCCTCTGCCATGTAGTGTGCCTCTTGGGTGATCTGCTGGGTTCTCATGGTACCCAGCAGCGCACTGGAACATGGCAAAGGAGGGAAGTATTGATGTGGCCCACACTGTCATCACTGTGCACCTTCTGATGCTTCTTAGTGCATCTGGGCACCTGATTTCGAGGACTCATCCTCTTAAAAGGGTTGTTGGTTGCCTACAACGTAGGGCAGGAAAAATTGATTTATTTATGTATTTTGTTTAAAAGGATGACTGGGTGACTGAGTTAGCTGAATTATTACATGTAAAAAGTTGATTAGAAGTGTAAGTCCAAGAAAATCAAAGTGCATTGTGAAAGTTCTGAGTGTAATTTGTGCAGCCAATTACAGTAAAAATTTCCTGATAGTAAATCTTCCAAATAAAATGTTCCACTTAGAATCAAGTTCACCACGTCTAATAGAACTAACCCTCCTTGCACTTTAGAAACAAAAGGTGGCTTAAACATAGGAGTTCATTGTTTTTGTGTAAAAGACTCAGATGCAGGAAGTCTGGGGCAGAATTAATGTAACAGCTCCTTAGTGATGAGAAAGCTAGGTCACTCTTGTCTGCTGCACATTCTAACAGGCACTTCCATGCTCAAGCTGGATTTGAATTCCAAGGTGGCTCCCAAATCTCCAAGTATCACATTTTACAGATAAGAGGAAAGGCTACAAGATACAAGGGATCTTTCCCCAGCGGTTGCTCTCCCCCAAGAATTTTCCCATTCCACCTCAACATCCTTTTATTTTCGGGAATAAAGACTGGGAATTGAAGCCAGGGTCTTCACATTGAGCTATATCCCCAGCTCTTTTTTTAAAAAAAATATTTTGAGACAAGTTCTTGCTAAGTTCCCCAGACTGGGTTAGAACTCACAATCCACCTGCCTCATCTTTTCTGTGTATTAGAACTTAGTGGCATGACCTCACTTAGCACAAGGACAGTGGAAAAATATAGCTTATGAGCACACTGCCAAGATGAATGCAGTGAATGTATGGGTAATTAAGAGATGTTAAGCCCACTACAACTAGGCTTCTAAACCTGATTGATATTTTGTTGCTGCCAACTGCACATTAGTTTGCTAATTGCATTAAGACATATGGGGGTTTTGTTAACTGTTTTGCTTTTTGGTGCTGGGGCCTTGCACGTGTGAGACAAGTGCTCTATCACTGAGCTACACCCTCACCCCACTTTAAGAATTTTTAAATCTACATTCAGAAGTATGACTTTCAAGTCAATTTTCCCCTAAATATCTGAAAGCAAAGTTCTTATAATGTTGCAGTAGTTTCCCTGGATTTTTTTTTCATAATTATTGGTTTCTCTGAAACCATTTTGTGGGGGAAGAGGTGGAAGGACTAGGTAAATTTATAAGCCAGTGATTTAATTTCATTTACTAGTTGTAAATCAACTTATTTTTGGTAACTTTCAATTACCTGGTAAATTTCTCTTTTAAGAACATTAATCATTAAAATCATTAATCTTTCCCATTTGATGGTTGTCCTTGACATTATGCCAACCCTTCTAGTACTAGTCAAGACTGTGTGTGGATTTGCATGGCATGACATGGCAAACAAATCTAACCCTGGGGCAGTAGTGAACTGAATAGACTTTCTCTTGTCAGTTCATTCTATCTTCTTTGGTGTATCAACAACAAAAATACAGTGATCCCTCACCTATCGTGGGAGTTACATTCCAGAGACCCCTGCAATACATGAAAATCCATGAAGTAGCGATGTTGTATTTATTTTATTATCTATATATATTTTAAGGCTTTATAAACCCTTCTCACAGCCCTATAAACCTTTCTCACTCTCTTATTAACCTTTCCCACACTTATAAACACTTCATGTGCTCTTAAACACTTTCTACACTTTTAAATCTATTTAATTTTAATAACGTAAAATTCTATATGGGTACTTGCTGTAAAGTGGACAAGGAGAGATGCTTCATCCACTGATGAAATACATACTGTATTCTATTTTGATTTCATATTCCTTTAATATTTTTGAATTAACTTTTTATATTTTTATATTGTTTTAAATTTCTTAGGCAAAAATAATTAAAATCACAAATATTACATAAATACCTATATACCACAAAGTCCCAATATAGCAAAAACTCCATGATACAGAATTAGATATATATATATTTTTAAAAACCCACGATACAGTGAAGCCACAATAAGTGAACTGCGATATAGTGAGGGATGACTGTAGGGTTTCTGCTTTAGCAAATATTTGCAATTCTTTTTTATGCAAAGTTCCTCTTTGGTAAATTATCCTTCTTCACCCCATGAATCTTGAGGCTGGATTCTATATGATGAACAGAGCACCAAAAAGATTAGGCAGTCAGAAATTATTAGCTTCTTCTCAAGGAACAGTTTCTTTCAGTAAGAGCTAGGACTCCCTTCTCAGGTAAACAGCACAAAATGGAAGGTGTTTCAAAAATTTTTGCAGTATTTAATATTCATATCCTTCCCAGACAGCCCTAGTCTTACCTGCCACAGCCCTACTCTTTCCAGATTAATAGTCATTCACGTAAACAATTATGTGATCAATGTGAAGAAAAATGACTTTTGGCAAGCAAACAGCTTTATGATTTTCTATCCAGACTACAGCTACACAAAAATATTTCAGGAGTATCATCTTAAGTCTATTGCTCTGAATGTGGCATCTTGAATGGAAGGGTTTTTTGTGGGTACTGGGAATCAAACTCAAGACCTCACACTTCTGAAGACCACTGCACTGCTGAGCTATACCTCTGGCCCCTTGAATGGAGACTTTAAACAAATTATTCTCCATGATCCCCATGGCCACCAGAGGCAGTCACCACATGACCACAGTCTAGAATTTTTACTGTATTTGGAGTTTTTCAGCAGCAACTACTTCATTTCTCCAGAGCTTCAGTATGTATATGATTCTAGTAACTATTTTCACCCCATTGTACCAAGACCAAGTTCCTGCCATGAGGTATGAATACAGAATTGAAAGCTTTTCTCCTGTGTAGGAAACCACTATTTCCTAATATCCACAAAGTCTTTCAAGCTTCTGCCTATACACCTCACTCTAGTGCTTACTCTTGAAACAGGAAGTTACTAAGCTATAAGCAATACACAAAACAGCTAACATACCCAGACAAAGAACAAGGTACAAGGAGGTCAAATAACTCATATTAAAAGAAATAAAATGAATTATGTTAAGAAAATAACAACTAAAGCTTTTGTGGGAAATCTATGCAGAATTATCACATCAAGATGCTATGGTAGGATAAAAGCCCAGACTGTTTTGTTCATAAAAACTCTATTCAAAATTCAGAGGAGTAGCTCAGCTATCCTTAGTGATCATGCCTCATCCTTAGAAGGGCACCCTGAGTGATGGCTCCATCATGAACATGTACATTGTGAGGGTTACTTCTCTTAAAATAGTATGTTCTAGCCAGTGAAAGCAGAACAGATTCCAGCATATACCAACCCATGAAATGTATACCATATTGCTTTCTATAACTAAAGCAGTACCAGCAAGCTGTAATTGTTAAAAATACAGTGAAAATATAGTGTTACTAGGAGATAACATTATCTACTGAGTAGTTTTACATAAGGCATTTATATGTAAAATGCCCACCTATGCAAAATTCATATTACATAGCACAAACAGGAAAATATTCTAAATTGCCTCTGTGGGTCTGAGAATACATTATTATTACTGTGATTATTACATAAAAAGAACTTTAAATACTATTTCTAGTATTTTCTATATAGTATTACTGTGATTGTTACATAAAAAGAACTTTAAATATTATTTCTAGTATTTTCTCCACTCTTCATGAAATTTGAAACATTTGCAAAATAATTTCCCTTAAAAATCATTTCTAAAGGAAGCTCTTTCCAAGTAGTTAAAATAAGTAATTTTAGAGTAAGTTCTGATATACAATAAGGTGATCATTATGACTGAAGATTTACCTCATGACATGTTCATACATATTCATTCTTCCTGAATAATGTCATTTCTAGATGAAGAATTTTTTTTTAAATAAATATATTTACAATTCATTTAATGGCAACTGGTAATTGCACAATTTCCCAACTTAGGTCAAACATACTTTAGACAAATCTAAAAATTAGTGCTGATTCTTTGGATCTGGTTTATCACCAGCATTTATAAAACCAGACCTAGGGAAAGATCTAGGTCTGGGGACACATGCATGATCTTACTATAGCAAATGTTTAGTCTTCCCTGATTATGACACAAGCAGAACAATGAGAATATTTGTGAAGAATTACTCATATCTTTCTCCTAAGATATATATTCTTGGCACCTAAAATGCTATAAAGTTAGTGATTCTGCCATTCATTGGTTCTGTAATTTTTCTCATTAAACTCCTCATACTTAATAAACAATGTCAAAGGAGTCTATTCTATATTCAATTTCATGAACCTTCCTCTTTATAAATTTTATCATATAATTAATATGATTTGCCTATATTCACTTCACTTATGTAGGTCCTCACATGTAGAAACTGTTAAAAATGTGACTTAGGCCAGATGCAGTGGCATACACCAGTAGTCACAATCACTTATGGGGCTAAGGTAGGAGCATCACTTGTGCCTAGTACTCAGGACCAGCCTGAGCAACACAAGGTCTGTCTCAAAAAAAAATAAACACTTGCTGCCAGAAACTTTCATACAGCTTTCTCAACCTATAGGATCCTATATTTTATACTGTTTTGTGTGTAAAGAACAGCTTTCTGTGGATTTTCTTGCATATACTATGGATTCATAAGGCTTTTTCTGTTCAGTGTGAATTTTCTGGTGTACATAGAGATAATTCTGTTAGAACTTCTCTTCTGTGTGATATTGTTGGCATCTCCTGTGAATTGACTTTTAAGTTTCTTATATGTAATTCAGTAGTATGTTCCTCATCTACATGAGTTCTCTGATGCTTAATGAGCTGTGATTTCCAAAGAACAGCTTTCCCATACTCAGTGCATTGACAGGATATCTCTCCTGTGTGTATCCTCTGATGTGCACTGAGAATTGAGTTCTGAGAGGTTTTCCCACATTCATTGCATCCATAGGGTTTCTCTCCTGAATGGGTTCGCTGATGTACAACAAGCTAGATTTCCTGATGAAGGCTTTTCCACATTCATTGCATTCATAGGACTTCTTTCTTGTGCACATTCTTTGATGTACAAGGAGTTGTAATTTCCCAATGAAGGATTTTTCACACTGATTGCATTTATAGGGGTTTGGTCCTTCATGAGTTTTCTCATGTACAGTGAGCAGTGATTTCCAAATGAAAGCTTTCCCACACTCACTACATTCGTATGATTTCTCTCTGGAATGAGTTCTCATGTGTATGGTAAGGTATGATTTGCTACTAAAGGTTTTCCCACAGTCACTACACTCATAGGGTTTCTGTCCTGCATGAGTCCTCTGGTGTGATCTGGTCATTCCTATTAAAGGCTTTCCCACATTCTCTGCATTCATAGATATTTTCTCCTGTGTGAATTCTCTGATGCACAATGAGAATTGAAGCTGAAGGACTTCCCACATTCACTGTGTTCATGTGGTTTCTCTCCTGTGTAGATTCGCATGTGTATAATGAGGTATTACTTGCTCCTAAAGGCTTTGCCACACTCACTGCATCCATGTGGCTTTACTCCAGTATGACTTCTTTGGTGTACAATGAGCTGTGACTTTAGACTGAATGCCTTCCCACATGCACTGCACCCATGGGGCTTTGCACCCATGTGAGCCCACTGATGTACAATAAGCTGAGACTTGAATGTAAAAGCTTTTCCACATTCCCTACAACCATAGGGTTTCTTCCCTGTATGAGTTCTCTGATAGACAATGAGGTTTGACTTTACACTAAAGGCCTTCTGACATTCACTGCACTCAAATGGCTTCTCTCCTGCATGAGCTCTATGATGTATAATTAGCTGTGATTTCAAACCGAAAGCTTTCCCACAGTCACTGCACTTACAAGACTTTTCCCATGCATGAGTCCTCCGGTGTGAAATGAGCTGATATTTCCAACTAAAAGCTTTCCCACATTGGTAGCATTGATAGGGGCTCTCTCCTATGTGAATTATCTGGTATATAATGAGTTGTGAATTAAAACTGAAGACTTTCCCACAATCACTGCATTCATGGAGTTTCTCTCCTGTGTGCGTCTGCATGAGGTATGACTGGATCCTGAAAGCTTTGCCACATTCACTGCATACATAAGGTTTTATTCCTGTATGACTTCTCTGATGTACAGTGAGCTGCAACTTCAAACTGAACACCTTCTCACACTGAATATTCCCATACGACCTTATTCCTGTGTGAGCCCCCTGATGTTAAATGAGCTGAGACTTAAATGTTAAGGTTTTTCTGCATTCAGTACATCCATAGGGCTTCTCCCCTGTATGAATTCTCTGATGGACCACAAGGTTTGACTTGTATTAAAGGCTTTCTGACATTCTCTGCACTCATATGTTTTCTCTCCTGTGTGAATTCTTTTGAGGTATGATCTGTAGTTTGAAACCAAAAGCTTTCCCACATTCATCACACATATAGGGTTTCTGTCCTAAGGAGTCCTCTGATGTGAAACAAGCTGTTTTTTTCTACTGAAGACTCTTCCACAGCATTCATGTGGATTTTCAACTGTGTGAGTCTCTGACATATACCTAGTTGTGAATTCAAATTGAATGTTTCCTCACATTCACTGCATTTGTGAAGTTTCTCTCCTGTGTGAGTCTTCTTATGTACAGTGAGGTATGACTTGGTGCTGAAGGCTTTCCCACATTCATGACATTCATAGGGGTTCTCTTCTGTGTGAGTCCGCTGATGTACTACAAGGTATGACCTGCTACTGGAGGCTTTCTCATAGCAGCTGCATTCAAAAGGTTTTTCTCTACTACACACTTGTTGGCACATACCTTGTACATTCTTATTGACAGTTTTTCTAGATTCATTACATTCACAGTGTTTTATTCCAGTAAAAGTTTGCTCATATTCAGAAGGGAAGAATGATTCCCCAAGTATATGAAACCTACTAGGATTCTTTTGAGCACAACTGCCAGTGAAACCTATATATTTCAAACTCTTTCCATGTGTGCCACATTTCTGAAGATTCTGTATTGAAGAAGCATAGTTTCTCTTAGAACACATTTGTCCAGATGCATTACATCCATAGCCTTTTGCCACATTTTGCAACTTGTCTTGGTTTTCTTGATGCCATACTATATGATCATCAATTCCCCAGATATTGCCTGGAAATGAAAACAGTCATATGTGATAAATAATAACATGATCCTGGTACAGTATAAAACTGTATTTAAAATGCAATTTCCCAAGATTTTTCTTTTAATTTTGGACATCAAAATTTTTTTTTAAGTACTAGGGATTGAATTACAGCCTCATGCCTGCTAGGCAAGTACTCTAACACTGAGCTACATTACCAGTCCTTTTTATGTTTTAGTTTGAGACATGATCTGAGTTGCCCAGGCTTCATTTGAATTTGTGATCCTCTTGCCTCAACCCCCAGAGCAGCTGGGATTATGGGTGTGTACCACCATACCTGACAGATATCAAATCTTTATATAACTAAAATTGCAAGTATTAATATTCTCAATTTACTGAGCACTGAAGAAAAAGCAAAATAAGTGAGGTAGATATAAGAAACTGACAATGAATAAAGACTTTAAGTTGTAAATTTTTGCCCAACAGAAGCAAAACAGGCTCAAGAAACTGAAGATAATACAAAGAGGTTGTAAGGAGTCTCTGACTATTAGCCTCATATAACAAATAATTACTAAATACCTACTTTGTGGCAAACACTGTGTGCTAGAGAAATGGCAAAGAACATTGCAAAACTGTTCCCAGTCCTCCTGGGAATCCACTGTCCCACTGAATACCTACACCATGGATGTAAACAGGCTCACAAGGAACATCATCATGAAGTTTGAGGACATGGAGGATAAGAAGCAGCTCTTAACACCTTTCGAGAAACAAAACCAAAACCATTTCACATAATGGAGCAAAAATTCAGACAAATGGCAACAGACTTACACCAATACAAACAGAAAGAAAACACAGCGACTGAAAATAAAAACATCTTCAGACACACAGGCCTCAACGTTTGTATCACATGTGCCCTTTCATAAGAAGCCACTGGAGAAAGTGCTTCAACAAGACAAAGCAAGAAAAGGGTGACAGCATAGAAAAAAACATGCTCACAATGGAGCTCCCTAGATAAGAACTATACAGGAGGCCTTGAGGAAAACTACACTAATGTGGACCAAGTTAAAAGTCCTAGGAATGATTTTGCCAAAAAGAACAAATGGATAGAATTACTAATTGGGCCAAATGTTCCCCAAACATTTTAAAAGAGGACTGACAGTATGGTTCAGTAGTAGAAGCATACCAGGGATATGATTCACTAGTCTCATGCCTAGCAAGCCTGAGACCCTGAGTTTAATTTCCAGCACCACCACCACCCCCTAAAGAAAGAAAAATCATCAGAAGAGTCTGAGGTAAATGATAAACACATTCTTAATATGTCACTGGTATTAGCAAAGAAAATAAAATAGGCAAATAAAATAACTGGAAAAATTATAAACAAAAATAATTTAATTTTCCCATGATTTACCTATAAAGGGAAATTACATAGTCATAATAATGCAAAAACTGAAGACTGATCTTATCAAATACATAAAATGACTATATGAGGATGATGGGGTACAGGAAAGAACAGTGTCTGTGTGATCGGGGAAGTTTGCAGGAGAGTATCAAAGATTCAAAACAACATTCTATACTGAGAAATCATTAGGAAAAGTCACAGTGCAGTAAATAAGCTGATTATTGAGAAACATGGAGGAAAACAACATAAGAAACAATTAAGAGATATCAGTGGCTGATTCTAAGAGCAATGTAAAATAGAAGGCACACAATGGACAGGTTTTTTTTTT